GTAATTTTTCCTTTTCCCTTCTAAATATTAGTTAAATAATGTTCAAAGTTCCGTACATTATTTTATTTGATTCTGAATCTCATTATATATCAACCTCTAAGATGAATGAGGAAGATCCATCATCACATCCCAATTAGAAGACCTTCGATCATAATGCTACCTGCGTCAGCAAAAAGGTTGATGATAAATCTCAGTTTCTAACAACTTATAAATAAGAAAAAGCACGCTGAAAGAAAGAGAAACAGGACAAAGGAAAGTGGAAATATTAGTGACATGCAAAAATTTACAACCTCATAAGGTTACGAGAAAATCATTAGCTGCATAGCTGCATGAGATTTCAATTTCTTTTTTTTTTTCTTTTTAAAAAAAGAAAAGCCTGAAACATAATTTCAATGCTATAACCAAAATAATCCACTACTCAAAGTCAAATCGCAATCTGGCGTTTTGTTCCAATAGAAGTACTGCAAAAGTGAGCATAGAACAATCCATCTGCCATTATCGCAAGTAGAACAATCCATCTGCCATTAGTTCTCACTTCTCACCCTTTCACTCGGATGACTAAATAGTTAATTATTTCAAGCACGCCTTGAGACTTGACAATAGATTTGAAAAGACGGCTCATGTAGGGTAATTTCAACTTTTTTTTTTTTTGATTGGTTGATCAAAAGAAGATACGGGGAGAACAAGAAAAGACAGATACAACGGTGGCATGAGATGACGGCAAAGGTTGGGCAATGGTGGGGCGAACCAAAAAAGGGCGGGCGACCAATCCATGGAGAGGCGTGGTGTCAAATCCGACTTGGTGAGAATTCATTCAGATTACTTGCACAATATTTGCTTTTGGAAAAAAGTCAAAACTAAAAGGCAAGAAGGGCGAAAACATGATAATTTAAAATATAATATAAAAATATGAATAAAAAATAATATTATTTAAAATTTTAATAAAAATTATATACGAATTTAATAAAATAAAAAATATATGTTTTATATTTTTATATCGATATAAATTATAATATATAATTTTTATATAAAATATGATATAAATATACGAATTATTAATATTTTATGTAATATAAATATACAAATTATCAAATGATATAACGAGAAAAAGATTTTGTAAATTATTGAGGGAATATTCAGCAATACTAGCTGTGTTTGCTTCTACTGCTCAAAGCATTCAAATCAATACCAAAGTTCTTCCCTGATCACCGATTCCCTATGTTATACAATGCCTAAGAAGTGATCTTTCCTCACATGGCAATCCGCCATTGTTAACTGGATTGTGAAACTTCATTGTTAGCTGATTCAGGATGCAATAAAACTATGATTTGGGTTACATGTCATAAGGGCTTGATTTGTTTGACGATTGAAGATTTGATTAACAAAGATCAATGAATTTCACAAAGAAAATAAAGATTAAAAAGATCTTAGGTTTCGGATATGGTTGGCTTTGTTATCTATTGTTTGCACATATCATCAACCTAAACCCAAATTTCATGTGGTTAACGGTTGGCCCATCATAGTCACAAAAAAGAAAGATTAAAAAGATGGAAATGCTTACAAGATTAGGCAATGAAGTGACAGGCAGGTTGATCCTATTCCAACAAAAAAAAAACAGAGGCAGGGGGTGTACTTGGAAGCGAATCCTTGGGATAACTCTTCCTAGGTAAAGCCTTGGAAAAAGCCTTTTATGGCATAAACCTCAATCTATGTATCTATGTCTGTTTAGTGGTTGAATTTGATAATTGACAAGGTAAAGACGTTTGTTATTGTCATAGGTTTGCTTTTTGCTTCTAGTTCAAAATGCACAGAATTGTACATGAGGGAAGAAGAATATAAAGAAGCAACAAATGTATGTATATCAACTGACCATTTTTCACATTCATGATATATATATTCATTCATAAAGGACAGGATCCCACCCCAACTTCTGGCTGCAAAAACTACTAAATACAAAATACTGAACAGCAGTTCGTTCTAGCATATGTACATGTAACATTGCTCAATTTCTCAATGACCTACTATCTTAGATATTTCATAGTTGGGAGCAGTATTCTCTGAACCCTACTTACCAGACCATCACCCTCCTTGAGGAATGACATAAATTTGGCTTGTGATGTAATCAAACTTCTGGTACATGCTGCTCAAAGAACTCGAATGCAATTACCTGAAGAACTTGAGCGTTTTCTGATGAACCTGATAGAAGATAAATAAAATGAAACCACAGACAAATGGTGAGGAATATGATCAGTTAAGTCTTAAAACGGTTCAACAAGCTTAATTGCACGTTGTGACTGATGAGATGAAGCAAATTCTAGATAATTTAGAAATAGGAAATAATGGAATAGCAATATATTCCGTAATAATAGATTACTGAGTTTTACCTCAAATTAGTACCAAATACATTTAGGAACTACTGATCATCGAGTTCAATTATTCTTCAAACAAGTGTTACAAACTCATGCTAAATTCCTATTCTCAATAAAATTTCAATATCGAAGTACCCAGTGGAAACTTTTTTCAGTCATCTTACACTTAAAACACGCAACTAAAAGATGTGATAAAATATTTATGGTCTGAAAAAATTCAATTTTGCTATATGACAAAGCTTGCTTTTGAGGCTTTGTTTTAATTATAACAAAAGTTAAAATTTTCATTAAAATTAAGCCTCAGTTTTATTGAGCATCCAAGTGAATTGCAAACAAATTCAAAACCTTAACAATTGCATCTGAAGCTTACTACAGGCTTTGCCCAAAAGAAATGTTATATATCTGGACCTTAACAAGTCTGACAAATGCACTGTTAAAGTTGCACTACCTTATCATCATGGTCCCTTTTCCCAATTACTCCTTGTGCTTAACGGCCACCTCCTCAGATGCCTCATCCATGTTCATATCTTCTAGCAGCACCCATATTACAGATCATATATTCATCATATAGATGCAGTTCACAAATAGGCTTGTTAAGATTGGAGAAGAGGGATTCCAAATTCAAAGGTTAGTGTGATAATTGACAAGTTTGGTTCCCAGTGAAAAGTCTGAAGAGAAAATTTAATTAATAATAGGAACCAAACAACACAAATAAAATTTAGAAAGGTGCTCTTTACTGCCTAGTGCGTATAAGCAGCTAAAGTCTTAAGTCACATTTAATCCATTGTTGCAACTCAATTATGGCATCTGTAGACATGTCTGCACATGGCCTGAAAAATAAAAGGAGACTAAAGTGTGAATAAACAGATTAAAGGTCCTCTTAGAACATTTCCATGATCATATTGCAGCAAAGCAAGCAATGTAGCAAACTAGAATTGGAAATTTCGGGATATTAAATTCAAGTATTCTTAAAATAACAATAGAAGAATGGGGAACTTACAAGGGTGTTAATTTCTTGAAGAACGTAAGTGACTTAGTCAGTTGGTCTCCTCGTTTGAGTAAAGCTTGAGCAGAATCAAAGTTTTTGGTGCCTTGAACTTGTTGGTTTTGGGTTTTATAAGTTGAGTCAAACTCTTCAACACGCTAGCCTCCACCATTCACCTTCATAGATAGTCGCTAGATGACACGCTTCCCAGGAAATGCTGCTTCGTTTTATTGGGGTGTTTTAGGGAGAGAAGGAAGATTTGGAGTTGAACAACTCGGGAGGGAGAAGAAGACACTTCTCTGAAACTTGTGAAAAATAAAACAAAAAAAGTGAAAATACCTCAAAAATTATATACTAAAAATCGCCGTCTGTGGGAATCGAACCCACGACCACATGGTTAAAAGCCATGCGCTCTACCGGCTGAGCTAAGACGGCCCTTGCAAGTTGTTTTCGCAATAAAATAGAATATTTTTTATTTTGAAATTTACAATTTATTTGTATAGCGAAAACTTGCATCAGTTCATCAACTAGATATTAATTGAATTCAGCTAAAGTAACATGATAAATTAAATGTGCACATAATTGATGACCACTTTTATGAACTTTGAAATCCTTTGATTACAATATACGGTTGCATATGTTAAACCTTTGCTATGTCACTTATTTTACATTTTTTTTAGATTTATCTTTATTCTTTAACATGCAATTTGGAAAAAAGAATTAAATAGATCAGACTGATACACTTTGAACAATAGAAATAACTTTAGTCTGGTTTCCTAATCTGACAGCTTAAGAGACCACCCCAGCAGCCCAACTCTAGTCTCCCTACCCAAGTAACCCAACCAAAATTTTTGAAATCCGCTGTGGAAATAAAAAACAAAAGCACACCAGGGCTTTTGTCCGAGGGCTCATATCCTTTCTCCAAAATTCCATGCCCACCAAATGCTGCAGCAAAATTTGATGATACCAGAATTAACTATTACTGAAGTATTTTCCCAATCTGACAATTCTTTAAAATGACCTTTAAAATCTAAACATGACAACGAACTTTCTGATGAATTTTAAAATGGGAAATAATTACTATTAAAAATATGCTCGCACTTTGCGTTTTATTACAGGAGTAAATATTTTTTAAAAATAATTTTTATTTTTATTTTTTAAATATATTAATATCAATCTAAAATCTAATTAAATCATAGTTTTCATTTTAAAAAATAATTTTAATCATTTTTAATAAAATTACTCATAGATTTACAAACATATTTGTGATTGCCATCAGCCCGATTCCAATCGTGTAGTTTCAAATGTGCTCAAAGGCCGACCAAAATATTGTACGGATTTGCATGCCTAAGCGGGCCATCCAGCCCATAACATGCCATAATAAGCTTCAAAGCCAAGTCCAAAGGAAGAACCGTAGAGAAGGGGAACCGGATACCAACAAACTCTGCCCTGATTGGTCATCAATTAGCTTTGAGTACATGACACGGCAAGGGCATTTTGGTCTTAAAGTTGAAAAACAAAAACTTGAAGTGGTAGGATTCGTTATTACAACACAAGACAAAATGAGAAAATGGGAATCATAAAATTGTGAAAATCCAATCTTATCCCTAAACGGTTCCGCTTCCTCGATTCTATAAGTACACCCCATACTGACACTTATTATAATCTTCCTTCATTTTTTCCATAGTTTTGCTCTCTTTGTTTCAGTTTCTCTTTCCTAGGGTTAGGGTTTTCTCAGTCTTATTCTTTACTTCCAACGAAAAGCTTTGTTTATTTTCATCAATGGCGCAACAGGAGGTCCTGAACGGAGGAGCGGAGAAGGCAGTGGCGGTGAAGTTCACGGCGATGAAGCCACAGCTGATGGTGGAAGCACCAAAGGCAGTTGATGCAGTGCAGTTCTACAAGACCGCGTTTGGCGCTGTTGAGGATGGCCGTACTCTTTACCCCAAGCGGAAGGCTGAGCAGGAGCTCCCTCACATCCTCTCCGCTCAGCTTGAGCTCGCCGGCTCTACCATACTCGTATCTGACATCGCTGATGACTCTGCTCCGTACGCTCCTCCCTCCCTCTCTCTCTCTCTATCCTTTTATCTATAAGTACGTGTTGTTATGTCTGTTATGCAATTTTTGTACTCATGTTTTGTTCTAAAACCCCGAGAGCCTATTTTGATCATGTTCTTGTTTGGCTAGGAAACTTTTTTTCACATTTTCTTTTCTAACTTTCGTTAAATTTGTTAATAGCTTTGACCCCTGATTTTGCGGTTTCGTTGTTTATAGCTCACTTTTCTTAGATCTGTATGATTGAGAAATTACGAACACCGTTACAAGTGATTCTATTGATTTTTTATTTTCTGTCTCAAACATGCAATTTATGAGTATACGTCTACGTTGGTTTGATAAAATGGCATTCCTGTTTGGCTATCACTGCAGTTTCCTGTTTATTTTTCGGTTAAAACATTTTTAAACGGGATTATTTAACGTTATAAAAGATCGTTATCAAATCCTAATCAAACTACTGTTTTAAACACGTTACTGGCGTGAGTTTCGCATCACTGCTTTTGACTCGTCATTTTTCCGGCTTGTTTGTTGCGCTTTTCGAGTCCCATATTTGACTCGTTTGGCTTTGTGTGTTTGAATTGAGCAGGGTGAAAAGTGAGGGAACTGGATGTGTGCTCTGCCTCGAGACTGAGGACGTGGAAGCTGCTATAGCCAAGGCCGTGAGCGCTGGAGCCGTTGCGGAGGGCGAGATAACTGAGGGCGACGGCGCGTGCTGTGGTGGACGCGTGAGCAAGGTCAAGGATCCCTATGGATACGTTTGGCTCATCTGCTCTCCCGCCAAGAAATGCACTGACGTTGAAGCTTAGATGCCGTATGCTCTTTGATCTACTTTTGTTGAACTCTGTGCTTTTAATATCTTTGTTATGGGTGGGACTTATCAGAAAAAGTAAAAGGTTTCTCGCCGGTAGGATTAGGTGATCAATAGTGTTAGGCTTTGGTATTGAACATTTTGATACTGCTCATCATGAACTTATTTAAAAAAAAAAAACTTTGTGATATCTATAAACCTAACGCTGTCGGTAGCAGTTAATTGAATTTTATTACCCTTTTTATTTATGTATGTCTCTGTACCCTGTGAATTGAGAGGAGAGCAGGTTTCTGTTACGTTGAGTTAACGAATAATAAGTTTGAAGGGTAGGAATGACTTTTCATCAACATTTGATATGGATATGGTATGTGTGGGTTTCGCAATTGTGGTTTTATCGTTGGTGCCTGGGTCAACGATATTAATATAATACTATTATCAACATTGGTATTAGTTATGCGTGTATATCTTAGTTCTTAATGGCTTTGTAATGTTTTATTTGACATTAAAGTAAGCAACAATGCAAGCGTGATTATTTTGGAGGAATAATAAATTGTTTGGAGACTTGGACGAATGAAAAAGTCATTGGGTTGTGAATAAAGGTTGAAACTTCCCTTTGACGCATAATTATGGTTGCTAACAGGATGTGGGCACGCGTCCATATGGTATATGTCTGGCCTTACCTTCCATTTATCTGTGTCCGTTGATTTTTAGAAATCTTTAAGGTGGTGGCGGGGTCATTTGAGATGGTCCCAACGAGGATGGAGGACGGGGGCATCTGTTGTTTGGAGGTTGGATGGAATGAGCGGGGTTCACGTGATTATTTCCTTGTAGAAATGTAATGTTGTTGCATTTTGATTGATGCCTCCAGCTTACTTTAAATTTGAGGTCTCAGAAATTGTTTTAGCCAAATTATGAGTTACGATTGTCTTTTCTATTTTACTTACGGATTGTGGTCGTTGTCATGTGCATGTTAACTTCTAGCCATTTAATAGCTTAATTACCGAGGACGCAAGGCCATAAAACAAATGCAGAAAGAGAAAAAGGGGGCTACCTAGGACTAGGAGGGGTCTAAAATATTACTCACCCAACTCTAGGCTTTGGTTTCTTTGGATTATTATTATAGTCTCTGTCTTCTTTTTACTTTTTTATTATTTGAATAATTTTGACTTACAATCATGCAGAGTTTTACCTTTATCTGCTGCCAACCCTCTATTGTTATTTTTCCCCTCTCTTTTCTTCTTGTTTTTTATAAATCTCCTTTTGTTGTTAACTTAAGTTGTTAATGCTTGTGACATGGGATGAACTGGTTTCTCAATGCTGTGGGCTTGTGTCACTTGGGTCTTGAATGATGGATGGTACTCACTGGAAAGAGACAGTGAATTCGGTATGCTTAGAATTGCTACCAGAAAGAAAGAAAGGTAGAGTTGATAATGGATCACAATTCCCACAAATAAAAAAGAGGGAAAAACAGCCCATGATGAAAACCGGTCATGTATTTTTTGGGCCCAAAAAAAAAAAAACAAGGAACAAGAGCATGTTCATTTTCTATGATGATAGTGACATCTACATTATAACAAATTGAAACAACTTTTTTGTTTTTGTTGGGGATAAAGCATTCAGCAATTTTGCTCGATAGACGGGCGGGTGATGATGGGTCAAAGGAGCATACCTCTCTTCCCTTGGGAGTAACCAATATCCTCCTTTTTGCCTTTCTCCTTTATACTTTGACGATGGTGAATTCATTTTCAAATTCATGCCTTCACTTCAATGATATAACTATGTCCACCTTTCATCTGAGTTTTATTACTGGTAAAGGTTAAAAAAAGCTTCCATTTATATTTCTTTCTTTTTTTTTTTCTTCCCTTAATTATGCCGCGTCATGCTGCTACTAATCAACTAATTCATTAAAATCTAATACTTTTTTAGCAGAAGATTGTTCCAAATGTTTTATATTTTCTTGCATAATGCTATAATTATTGGGTAAATAGAATCTATCCATTCATAGGCTAATAAATTAATTACTAAATGATATATTACACTTTAATCAATATTATCACGTCGGGAAGGACAAATGTGACAAAATGTATCTTCTTGCATCCTTCCCAATTTAAGAACTTTGAAATTGATTGATTAAAAGAACAAGCGAAAAAAATGGGTCAATTATTTCAAATCTAGAAAATTTCAAGATCTGGAGTCAAGCATTGAAAAGAGCAGAAGAAGGACAATTCCAGCCACTAGAATTCATACAATCTTTAGTAACCAAATTATTAATTAATATACACATATAGATAACTTGTAAACATTTCCACATCAAATGAGAGAAACTTCTCAAAGGCTGGCAAACATGAGAAAGCAGGTTCATGCTGCTCCGGAATCCTGAAACTATATGTAGATTGGCTGTCAAGGATAATAACCTTTCTCAAAGATATATAAATATATATATATATATATATTATTATTATACAAATGAGCAGTAATAATTGTTGTGTTCGGTAGGTAGTAATAACCACCTTTTTTTTTTCATTTTGAATTGGTTCCATTTAATTTCCTTTCTTCCATTTTCATTTCTACCAAACTTAATAGTATAAGGGCCTTTAATCATGCATTTCATGTCACTTAACCTCAAAAATTCTGTGGCTAAAAAAAGAAAAAAACCTCAAAAACTCTGGTTTAGTATAATTTTCTTAATGCAAAAAGGTTCAGGAGACCATGACAATTGGGCCTAAGGCTATGGTGGATTGGGGCTCTGGGGTGATACACTTAGTTTCTGAGTCGAATGATTTGTGAACCGTATTTAGGACTAGTGGGTGCCTAAAATTCGATGCCCCCATGTCCTCTACTCCATCAGGTTTCATTGGGTTAGTCAGAATGATTCCACATGGTTGTCCTTGTATAGCCTCTGAATTAATGTTATGTTTCGGGCCCCACTGAATGCGACAAAATAGCACCGTAAAAAAGGACAGGAAATATTCCTTACTATATTGTGATTGATGTGAAATCAAACTAGCACCAAGGAGAGACATTATCCTTTTCAGGGTGGATGAAATGGCACATCAATAAAATATGACCTCAGAATCGAATGAGAGGTGATGGAAGGATTGCTGCTGGTCGTTGTAAATGCTTATGCCACATCTTAGAACAAACATACATAGATTATAATAGTTTTTAGTACTTGTAAGTGAGAAGTACTCATTATGAAGAAATAATCCGTCAATTAAAGCACTTTTTCTAGTGATGTATGAATGTAATGTAGGAAAGAAAATGGCGAGAGAAGTTTAATATACCTTAACAATCAGGAGGCATTTCAAGCTTGCACTTTGGAGGTAGAGCCAAAGCAAGCGCTGGATCAATCCCAATAGAAGGCAGCAACAATGAATTTTTATAACCACACAAGCACGTCAAGTTAGCCCCCTTCAGAGCCTCGCAGCACTCAGGTGATGGGTCAACTGGGTTCGGCTGGGTCACAGATGGCTTGCAGGCCTCCAGACCGTCATCGTTCATGTCACACAAGGTTATTGCCCTCGAGCCTTCAACAATTAATGCCACCATTATCATCATTAAAACAACCAACTTCCCTGTAGCCATTGCTTTTTTTAGTACTTCTCTACTAGCTCAGGCCTCAAGGAAACTATGGCAATTGGTGAGGATGTGTTTGTAAAATCTGGGGGCAGCTATATAGTGATTAGCAAGCTTAGTTTGGCACCACGAGTTTTGGACCCGTGAATGAGAATTGTCAGGATTCAAGAGTCACGGGTGCTCGTAGGGCCCTTTTTTATTTTTTCTTCATTGGTGCAGTGTCCAATGGTCATTGGCTTTGTTAAGATGCTTTTATTTTTAGATGGGTTCCATAACTACCACACAAAGACAGATTTTTGTGAAAACAGACTTGGGAATGTTATCTGATCTGTCATGAACTTTGATACGATTTATTAATCTTAAATACATATGGCTTTTGCTATCAAGTCTTGGTTTATATATAATGTGCATTGATATGTTAATTTCCTCCCAAATGAAAGAGTACACATCGCTGAATGAAACTACAAAAAATTTGGCTCAAAGATATGTTGCTTTCTATTTTGCCTTATTCACAACAAATTAAGCATCTAATTTTCAACCTCAAGAGCTCAATAGTCATTTCCATGACGGTTAGTTCTATTAATAAGGAAAAAAAAATCATTTTGTTGATTTGGATATGGGACAATAATTCCTGAAGACCCCTATCTCTATCCCTTCTTTGCACGTTTTCAAGTGACGATGACCCGCCAACATCCATTCCTCTCATTCAGCAAAACATTCATAAACTATTATTACTTTATTAATATAATGCATTTCCAAATTGAGAAAAGACAACAATCATTGAGCCAATGGTTTTTTTTTTTTTTTGGTGACAGAACCAATGGTTGTTGTTAGCTGTTCTTATTGTGGTCAAGTTAAACAGGCAAAGTGTCTGGTTTAATTTCATTATTATATTTGTTGATTCGTTATAGTCTGTTTACCCAAAAAAAAACTCCTGTCCAACTTGACACAGTCGAGGTGCAATGTAGTAAAATTTGGCTAATGGGACAAGTAGCACAGCAGCAGCCTAGAGGTAGCAAAAAGTCATAGCCAGTAGTATATACCAACCCTGAAAAGATATTGGAGAGGGAATGTTATGTTTGGTTTCTATTTATGGTTTATTTTATTTTTACAATTTAAATATTTTATTATAATTTAAAAGTCATTCATATTATTAACTTAAATAAAAACAATGAATTGAACGTTCAATCTTTCAATGAGAAACCAATTGATGTTATTTTAAGCCATGTTTCCTGTCTTATTCTAGAATCTCCATGGCAGTTGACAACAGAGTACCTTCATTGTTTTATTGTTTTAAGTTGACTTTCCCTTCTAAATTTAATTTTTATTTGATGCTTAAATTTTTTTTATTCTTGTTGTTGTTCCTCACTCAAGATTTAAATTTTTTGTTATTTAATATTAATATTATATTAATTATTTAAATTAAATATTTAATATAATATAAAAACTTACGATTATTTTAATCTTTTTATCTTATATTCCCATGCATTTATCACATGATAATCTCAACATATCTATGAAAAAATATGTTATAAGGTATTACTGTATATGTATCTTATAAGTCTAAAGTTTTTATAATTTTTATTCAAATGGCTCTCTCCATTTATAGCAATTCGATTGGTGATTTTAATTGAATCTTTGATAAAAATAAAAGTACATTAAATTAATAAAATATATACTTGTAAATTGCATATTTCACTGCATCAAACAAAACAGCTTACATCAGATATTGATATAGCCTTATAGATTTTATGGAGAGGAATGTTAAGCTAAGGCAGTAAGGCTAATACTGAGGCCTAAGGGCAAGAATCTTCAACGTTTGCCGTTTGTCAACAACAAGATGAAAATTCTGTAATTGGTTATTAACCTACTTTATCACACTTAATTTCCTTTTCCTCTTTATTCCCACGAGGTGTAAGTAAAACATTTTTTTCACTCCAAGGTAAATGTCGGACTGAAAACCTTTACTATTTTTTCTCGTAGGTAACATCATTATTATTTGCTATATAATAAAATAAAATACCAAACTCAAAGCCAAAATGGTAAGTCAGAGAAAAAAATCGAAAAAATTAGAAATTAATTTAAAAGAATAGCATTTGATTTTATTTTATTTGGTTCGAATTAAAATTGAATATTAAATGTATATATTAAGTTTGAATTAGATTTTAAGTTTGAAATGATAAAATTAAAAATAATTAAATTGAATCAAATTATATAATTTTTTAGTTTTTTAATTATTTTAAATTTTTATAAAATAAAATAATTATTTTATATATAAATTTATTTAAATATATTAATTAATTTATAAAATAATATATAAAAATTAAAAAAATTAAAATTTTAAAACCAATAAATCAAACGAAACTAATAAAATTCAATTTAAATTGAATTGATTTAAAAAAAAAGTCAGATTCAAATTTATATCAAATTTTTAAAATTTATAATATTATACATTATAAAAAAATTTATAGAATCAAATTTAATTTGATTCAAATTATTATTATTCCAAAAAAAGTTGCTATTTAAATCAAGAAGATATATTAAAAGCCAATGGAGCAAAGGCCACAGATTGTCTGCACAGTGCACATGTCCTTATCTCTTGAACTGCAACATAATTTATTCTACTGTCTTCTGCATGTTTAAACTTTAAAAGACTGTTATCTTCAGCACCATTAAAAACAGTGTTAAATTTTCGAACTTTTTCAATCATAGCCACCCTCTTCTACACAAAGCACCAGGTTTTACTGGGCTACGTGTGTGGAGTCGAGAAAGCAAAAAGAAAAGGCCTGGCAGAGCCTTTGGCTGCTTGGAGATTTGAGAAAAAACCCACGAAACAAAACCACAAAGAAACTAGGCATATAAATATTTGACCAGCCACAAATAAAGCAAGCAAAAAAAGTTAAAAAATAAGAATATTTTAAAAACCCAAATCAAAAGCAACCAAACCTTGTTAGTTGTTTACTTGTCTCTCTCTCTTTGCCTGGTTTTCACCTTTTTTTTTTCTTATCTTACCTTACCTCTTTGTCCTTGTGTCTGCCACTGTGAAACTTCGTTATATTGGCTACTTTTTTTTTTACCTAACAGATGTTTTATTGCTTTGGATCCACCGTAACCCCACTCCCTTCCCCTACTTTACCCTATTCCTCCATTCCTCCCTCCCTCCTTCATAGCTTCCCTTCCCCTTTTAAATTGCTAACATTCCCACGCCCATCCAAGAAAGAAACAAGCGAAAGAGAACACAAATTTTAAACCCTTTTTCAGTCCAGCCACCCTGATTCCTTTCAAAGGGCCTCTTGAAAAGTCAGGTCTATCTCCAAGATATTCTAACATTTCACTCAGTCTCTCTCTGTCAGAATATGGATGTAAGAAAAGCCTACCCTTCTTTCCACTATACTCATCTATGCTTCAAATTCACTTTCATGTTTAATCTTTTTTGGTTAATAATGTTTTTTTTTTTTTAGTTTGCAGTATTGTTGATGATGAGATAGCTTTTGTTTTGTTGTGGCGTGTTTAGGATTATTATAGGAGCCATGTTCCAGCTTTTGGCAGCTGGGATTGCAACAATGACCTCCCTTTTACTCAGTGTTTCGAATCAGCTAGACAAGCTGGGTTGCTTCGTTACAGCTACACTGAGGATCGTGATTTGTATGTTGCCGGTGATCTTTATGAGAATGACGTTGTTACTCCTGCCATGATTGTTGTTCCTTGCACAAGAGTAAGAACTAAGAACTACGAAGAAGGCTTAAACCTTGATTTCTTCTTCTTCCTTTGCATTTTTCTCTCATTTTTAAAGCTGATTTCTGGGTTTTTTCTTTTCACTTTTGCATGTGCAGTGACATACTTTCATTCATTTGTTTTTCATAATTATCTTTATTCTTTTGATGCGCGCGAAAGGCTATGATTTCTTCAAAACGCATCGAATTGTTCACGCTTGATCCTTGAAAAGGAGTTCGTGGTTGCAACAAAGGATCGAAAATGTCAAAAAGGAAAAGAAAAAATCCATAGAAAGAAGCTCAAAGCTCACCAAATAAAGTGAGAAAAAGAAAATGGTCTGCTCAAAATTAAAAAAATGACAAGGAATACGAACACCCATGTTCTAATAAAGGAGAAAATTCATCCCGAAAATGCTTTCCAATGGTCAGTCTGCCGGTAGGGACCAAAAGTTTTTTGCCATGGGAATGAATTTCATTAATAACATTTTTTATTTAAAAACAAAAAAGGTATTGTGATGAAATGATGATGATGAATTGAGTAACATGCATTGTATGATCAAATGATGGTAAATAGGGTTTTTGGTAATAATGAATGAAACATTTGCAGACAAAAGTACGACAGTCGCATGTTAAAGAAGGAAAAAAGCAAAGCTGGGAGGTCAGTGTCGTGGAGGAACGACCAAGCCCCTCTCCTCTACCCATGCCAACACCCAAACCTGTTGATGAAGACCTCTACAAAATCTCCCCACAGCTCCTTGATTACGCTAAACCCAAAAAGGTAAGCTTCCACTCTTCCATTAAAATTTAAACTCAAAGCTTCACAATCTCATACCATCCCATGTTAATAAAATTGTGCTTATTTTGATGCATTTGTTAATGTTAATCACCCATTAAAGTTCTAATCCTTTGGATTTTTTTTCCTTTGTTTAATTTGATGCAGAAGGGAGGGTTGGGTTTCTTTTCAAGCTGCTTGCTGCCAACTTGTGTATTGTGAAGCTGCCGTTGCCCATCGCCAAGTGCATGCTAAAGGTCATATATATAGGATTACATATATATAGTCTAAGGAGTTGAGAAGAGTAAATGGATAATGCCATGGGACGTATTTATTTTCCCTTCTCCTTTGGATATTAAGGGGATTCTTATTAGGCTAAGAAGAAAATTATTATAGTGATTATTATGAATATGTTAATTATCATGTGAGGGTTATTATGAGCAGAATCTTGTTGTCAAGGAGAAGGTTTAAAAAGAAAAAAACTTTCTTCTACGTAGTGAGAAAATGATTGTGAGTTACCTTCT